GTGTTTATAAAATATAAAAAATTGACATTTGACGGTGACACACAGATTCCCCTATTGTTTCATAGATGGCGCTCTATACAAATTTTTGATTTAAATCATTTTTATATAATAAGTAGTATTCGTCGTAGAAAACGTATAGTATGCAACTCGTTTATCAAACTTGACATATAATATACTATTATGTAAATACCGTAAAAGTCGGCATATTCTTTAATTATTTATATTAAAAATAGTTATAAATATCTTTGAACAAAATATGTAGAACTTTTTCATTCTCTTACTTTCTTCAAATTACTTCTTGAAAGATGTATAAGTTTTTTCATAGCATGTTTTAACATCTTTGGTACAAAAAGCAAAAAACGCAATATAAAAAAAATAAACGTGTTCATTTTAATATTCATAAAAAATAAATAAAAAAATTGTTTTAACACATCTGTTAACATTCTTTTAAATGGCGTCATAACTCTGATCATACCCTGTTCCGCTTGCAAAAGAAAGAAACAAACAATTTTAAATCTTTATTTTAGCACTTCTCTGAACATCGCTCTGTACACCGATTGGAGCAAATGTTTATGTCATACAATTTCTAATAAAACATCACGGGTTACTTACAGCAATCTTAAGTTTTGTGACATCATTGAGTAGTGTCAGGAATTGTATGTATACGTATATTCGATATATTAATTATTATTTTAAATTAAAAATAAATGGATTATTATAAAAATAGATTTTTTATTTTACTTAAAATGAATTATGTTTCCTATTTAAGACAAGTATTTAGGCATTTTAGAAAAGCATTTAGAGATTTTAGTCAAGGCTTAATCATACTTTTAAAAGAAGTTATAAATGACAAAATTATGTTAATTGGGTTAAAATGTCCAAAACTTATTTGTATTAAGAATGTTAAACGGCCTATCAAAATTGACAATAAGTATTTTGCCTAGAATCCGGTCTCTACTAATATCTTATTAGTATTGGGTCTGATTGCTTTGCACTTACATTCGGAAGCGCATTATTCCAAGAATCGCTGATGATCTATTGTCGATTAATAACCAATATATGACTACCTTGGCGGTAATGAGCCATGCAAAATCGGACACACCGTGGTCCATACAGCAAATGATTAAATCCAGGAAACCCGTTCTATAATGCAGATAGGATAATACGTAACGACGATAAATCTTGTTCGAATGGGAGCGGTAACGCAAGCAACAATTTCACATTGTGCGGTCGTCGAATCTATAATGTATATATTTTGTCCCAATCCGCTGAACCAGCCGCTTATGCACGGGCTCCATCCTCGACAACACACCGACTATTAACGCAGTTGTTCGCTGCCATATTGTAGAACATTTGACTTGTTTGTATTGTGCAGTTTTCATCAACAGATGCTTTAATTGACTCCATGCATTTTCAAACTAACACGATTCGGCCGCCTTTTTTTTGCTACATTTGGCCATTTAAACGTTTTAAAGTATTCATCGCATCGGACTACATAACAATGTTAATTTAGCACCATATTCGGTTAATCCAGATAAAGTATTAAACTTTATAATAAAGTAAAATTTTACGAGTCGTTTATTTTTTATTTTAGTAATGAATAGTAACTAAGAGTACTACTACTATATGATTACTCTTTTTTAAATATTAACCATGAAATGTATATACAGTGTGTCCTCGGATTGGGTTGCCAATAGGATTTTTTTATTACCTACGCATTTTACGGAAAAAAGTAATTCTTCATAAAAACTCCTGCTTATTAAAAAAATGACATTCTCATACAAAAATTCTGAATCGAATGTACAGGGCTCTCAAAAATCTGAAAAATTTCTTTATTTATTATTTTATTGAAAATTTTTATAAAAAAAGTCGATAATAATTTAAATTCAGTCTAAATAGGAATTAAAAAAATATTATTATAATTTTATTTCATTTTATAAACAATTATATAAGAAAAAGTCGATGACAATTTAAATTAAATAAAATTAATTAAATTTAAGTCTACGAAATAAAACAAAAGTATTTTTACATTTAAAATATTCTTTTTTATTTCGTATTTAGTCTTTAATTGTAATTATCATCGAACGTTTAATATATTATATATAATATATATAATAATAATAAAAAAATATATTATATATAATAATAATATATATAAAATATATTATATATAATAATACTAAAAAAGTTACTTATCCTTTGAAGAATTTTCGTGTTTTCTGAGCACCCTGTACATTTCATTTATGTTGTTTATATGAGAATGTAATTTTTAATTAAGCAGGAGTTTTTATAAGAAAATATTTTTTTTTTGTAAAACGCATAATATTGGCAACCCCATCCAGAGACAAACTTTATATCTTTATATATAATTCGGTCTTTGTAAAAATGGGTAGTAGTTTTATGACGACAAAGATTTAAATAAATAAATTTGTATTTTTATTTATTTCCCGATTTTGCTGTAAGAATGTCATATTCTCGCACGCAAAATCGTTAAAGAATGATGCTCATACTTGGTACCCTCAAAAATGTCAAACTATTTTATAACCTCAAATTCGTGACTTTTAAGTTTATTTATATTCTTTTCAATAAACATTTACACATGAATGTGCCTAACCTCTTAGTTGACAATTATTATGTCAGTTAGTAAGTAAGTTTTACCAACCGACATAATATTATATAGGCGCCGCGGCGAATTTTTTCTGTTGCGTCAACAATTTATGAACCAAGCACAAACATAACTGGCTTTTTGTAATTTTTATATTTTTTTTTGGAACAACTTAAATTACAACTTTTTGTCTCTTGAATTTTTTTCTTTTTGCTTTGTTATGAAATAAGGGGATTTGCTGGGATATGAAATAAGGGGATTTCTTTTTTTTTCTCGCAAACAACATTCAAGACACAAAAATGTTGTATTTTTAGCTGCTTAATCCGAATTAAATATAAAAAATACAAAAAGTCGTTGGCGTACATTTTTTTGTCAAAAATATTTGTGCCGCTCGGGACGACACTGGAAATTTAATTTTTAATTAAACAAAAAGTTTAACACCCTGTCTCTTGAAATGAAACATTTGCGGACCCATGTTTATATAAACTTTTTTCTACAAAAAACATCTGAAGGTCAAAGTTCTTCAGATCAACCGTTTCAAAGATATCAGCGATCAAAAATAACACAAATAAAAAATTTCAAATATTTTCAAATAAAATACAAAAAATATCATATTCCATATTTATATTATTTTTTATGTAAAATCACTTTAATTCTGATAACCTGAGACTTTAAACTTTTTTTTATTTATATATTGACGAGCTGTGACTTTATGGCTTTTTAGGCACGGGCTAAAGTTAGCAATAGTGGCTTTTGGGCATTTTAGTCACGAGCTGAAGTTAGCTTTATTATAAATTGTGGAAAAGTGAGGTTAAATACTTCAAAAGTTGACAGATGTCAAATGTTTATATAAAATTGGCTTTAAAAACTTCTTTGTATTCGTTGTAAATAAAGTATAGTATGCAACTCGTATTATAAACTATATCTAGACACTCGTTTTTATTAAACCCTAGCTCGCAAGCTTCGCTCGTGCCTAATAAAACTCGTAACTAAAATGGCGTTTACAAAACTTGATACATAATTTACTATTATCTACTCCTACATTGACGAGCTGTGACTATGGCGTTTTAGTCACGGGCTGAAGTTAGCCTTATTATAAATTGGGGGAAAAATGAGGTTAAATCCGTTGACATTTGACAGATGTCAAATGTTTAACAAATAAAATGGTCTTTAAATTTTTCTTCTTAAAAACTTCTTTGTATTCGTTGTAAATAAAGTATAGTATGCAACTCGTTTTATAAACTTCTCTGACACTCGTTTTTATTAAATACTCGCTAGCAAGCTTCGCTCTTGACTAATAAAACTCGTAACTGAAATGGCGTTTATAAAACTTGATACATAATATACTATTATTCAAGTGTAAAACTCTGTAAAACATAATATTAGGGAATACTTTTAAAAATGGCGAATGCGCCGGGATTACGTTAAGATTTTAACATAATAGGTATGTTATACCTAATATAGGTATTTGTTAATATAAAAAAGAAGTTATTACTTTTAATACCATTAAGTTAGTCAATATAATTCTATAAAAATTATTAATAAAAAATGGTAAATATGTAGATGGCAAAAAGAAAAATGATTAAAAAAAGTTTCCTGTGTTAATTTAACAGGAAATTTTTAAATTAAATAAGAAACTTTCTAAAATTAAATTAAGGAATTGGTATTTTTAAAGAGAAAAATAGTTTATTACCTCTTAAACAGTTTAATGAATATTATTACCGCCGATAACCTAAAACTTAATAAATAAATAAAATAAAATTTTATTACTTAACTTTAAATTACAAATTTATTACCGTCGTTAATCTTAAATTTAAAACTTTTATATTTTGTCTTTTTTAGATTATTTTTTATCAGCCATAGGCACGTGTGCCTAAATTAAATATTTGATATATTTATATATTTTTTGTTAATATGAATCTGACAATTTTTTTAATTCTGAAATTGCTCAATTTTGTTTAAGACGCAATTTGCAAAAAGTTATCGATACAAAAAGGCCTACTTCACTACATAAATTAAGCTCAAATACCATAAAACTGTATCCTTTAAATAGGTCGTTCTACTTTTTATCTTTTTTTAAGGAAAAACTCGTTTAGCAAAACATTATACGTGTTAAAAAATACCGAGAAATTTTTAGGTAACGGCCGGAAGGCAGTTAAATAAAAAACAATGGACAATCACCTTGAGAGACAACGGCAACAAAAGGAACTTTGGACGATGTCTTTTTTAATTAAACGATAAGGGTGTTGTTTTTGTGTACCGCCGCTGGAGGGTGTTATTTTCGTAAACGGCGGCGCAACGCGACAAGGGTTTTTTGTTTTAAGGTATCGCAATTAAATTTGTTTTATTGTTTTATTAAAGAACAACCAACTTCGTATTTACATAAAATCCAAACTTAGTACCTTAATAATGTTTGGCATAAAAAACTTACCTTTTTAAGATCCTTGTTGGGCTCCCCGTCATCAGCTTTTCTTTTTTCGGTTCCTGTTAGTTTGCTTTTATCCTTATCACTTAACTGAAACAAAAATTAATATGTTAAATATTTTATGAATGACTTTATACACAAGCTTTTTTGTTTAAAAAAGTAACTAAAATGTATTCAATGTGTTTTAAATATAAACAGCCTTATGCCCTAAAAACGTATAAAATGGAAAAAAATTATAACCTTGCGAAATCTAAAAAGGATATTTCTAGTCCAGGTAAAAATCGGAAGCAATTTTCCCCCAGTGAAAATAAATTTTCCACCATCGGGGGTGGACGATCGGCGTCGATGCCTTCTGCATTTATATTCGATTTCAATTATACGAAATTGCTGATTCGGCTGTTTTACCTCGAACGATTATTAAATATTTCAGAGTTACAGAACTGCCTATTTCCGTTATCTACCTGGTCTCAGCTGCGCTCTCATGTTACTTTCAATCCTGTAATTTTTAAATAATCCAAGTTTTATTTTACAGAAAAGAAAACTGCATATGCGAGCAAATTGGGCGGCTACTTTATCTCTAATTCTATTATATAGTAGTCTTACAAGATTTCAGTAACAAATTGACTAAAAGAATTTTCCTAATACAATTTTTGAGATGGGGAAATTTACTATTCAATGCGGGTAATGAAAAGTATCACCGGAACTGATTATCCCAGACCTTTTATGTACTTGCTTTATAAGACATTTAGCAATTGATGATTACCAAACATTATGTCAAAAACTAACGGGAATTTGTAATTACAAAATTATGTGAGGTGTAAGCACTGTCCTCTGTTATATTAAAGGGTTTCAGCACGATCAGTCCAGCAGTTTGTATACATACCACTATTGGTTTAAACCATAGCAATATGCCAACTGTTGTGTATTAAGTCAAGCCACGTCAAGTGGGACCAGAAAATTTCCCGAAATCACCGATTTTGAAAATAATCATATTATTGTGTAGTAGGCATAACGCATGTCACAGTAAAAAAATTATTTTGAAATTCGATTTTTTGTTAATGTTATTAAAGTTAATAATTTTGTAAAACTTTGGAGTACATCACAATCAGGTAGGCTAAAGACATGTTGGAACGAGCAAATTCGGATTCTTTATTCATGAAACGCATACTTTTACCAAACCTAAGTTTGCCGGTAGGCGTTTTGACTCGACGGAAGCTGTAAAAACAAAATCGCTAAAAGAGTCAGGGTCAACTCAGTAAATCAACAGTTGTATACAAACTACTACAATGATCGTACTCAACCTCTGTAATATTCAACCTGGCGTTGACAGAACGTATTTAAAGTAAATTATTGAAACATGCTACACTTCAGAAATAGTAAAGTAGAACTAAATTTACTCCTTTTATTAGATTAAACTAGTACAAGATAAACCCTTTAAAGCCGTTAACAAAAGAACTGAAAACCGCTTGCAGTGCTTTTACTTCTAATTTCTCATTTAGTTCCGGCAATAGATTAAGTTGGTGTTTAAAAAGAACACACCAAACCAGTCCATGTAGCGGTATATACTTCAAAGAAAATTAACATGCTAATAAATCCGAATCGCGATAAGAGAGCCGAACTAAAAGTGGCCACTTGTTTTATATCGTTCTCGAGGAATAATCCTTTTGCTACGCCAACGTCGATAACACTAAACGTAACAAGGGAAACACTATTTCTTTTGAAAGGAGTTTAAAGTTGGTAACACTGCACGATATGGTTTAGATTGGATTATCCATGTTTGTCCTTAAATTTTATGAAGCAAGGAAAAGAGATTTAAAGGATTTTGCCATAGGGAAATTTTGTTTGGGCGATAAGATAAACAGAGGCTTAAAAACTTTTTTTAGTTTTATAAAAATGCTTAAAAATCCTTTTTTTTTAATAACGCTTGTAAATATTTTAGTTAGTTTTTATGTTATTTTCAATTTCAATTCAATTCAATTCATTCAATTTATGTAATTATTAGTATAATATTATCCATTTTAGAAAAAAATAAATGTTTAATAAACGCCATTTAGTCACGAATTTAATTTAGATTAATTAGATTAATTTAGAATTGGATTTAAATATGTTTTCATTTTTGTTATATCTTTTTTAATTATAAAGTTATAGCCCGTCAAAGTTGATGAATTTTTAGGAATTAAGTTTATAAAAAAAGGCAATTTTAAACATCTATATAATAAAAACCAGTCGACGAATTATATCAAAATTACTACCAAATTAAACATTAGTATATAGCAAACAAAATAAACTACCTTAACATACTTAATCAAATCAATTTATACAGATTTTGTTTACCTTAAATTGTATTTAAAATGATGCAAACTTATCTTAGTTTTATTCTTTTTTTTTTTCATATGCATATGTTAAAGCCCTTATTTCCATTAATTTGTAGTCCAAATGTTGTAATTTTTGTTAAAATTAGTTTTGACCAAAATCGGGATTTTCAGCCCAGTGTGCGGCGCGCCGGTAGAAATATCAAATTTTTATGAGTAAATCGAAAATGAATCGTTTAATCCGATATAGAAGCAGTTTTTCACAGTGAAAGTAAAGAAAATATTTTATGGGCACCCGAAATTAGGTTAAATTTAGTTTACTGTAGGATAAATTAAAAGGCCAGTACAATGTTCATATAACTTTTTAAATATTAGCGTTGGAAACAATTTAATACTTTTGTATTTTTGTATTGAGATAATAAAATATTTTTTACAATTAGTATTATCTTACAAGAAAGGCACTTTATTTTAACGACTAACATGTCAACTAACTTAAAACTAACTTCAGCCCGTGACTAAAATGCCATAAAGCCACAACTTGTCAATGTGTATTTAAAAGGTCACTTAGTGTCATGGAGACATGTACAATAATGGGCGTTTTAAAGATGGGTGTAGAAAAAAATATTTAACACGTGCTTTATAACAAACGCAATAACCAATACAAACATCGGTTGTAAAGTTTGCTAAAAATAACTTGCAATTATTTATTAAACTACTGTTTAATACATAAAGGCAAAATTATGACCACAAAAGTAAATAAAAGCCTTTTTTAAATCCATTTTAATTCGCTAAACTAGAAAAATTTAATGAAGTTTCACTCGACCTGTATGGAATTAAAACCAATATTAAACCACGCTATTGTTTGTAACATTCTTAAAGCATTAATTTTAGAATTGTGTTTAAAGTTAATTCTGGAAGTTTTTAATTACCGTAACATTATTAATTTTCTTGCTGTCATTTGAAGACAGACCAATATTAATGATTTTAAATAGCTTAGCATACTTTTAACAAAATATTTTTAATTATTTATTAAAGTAGTTAATGTTAAAATTACCGTGAAATCATTATTAAAACATATTATTGTTAGGGCCTTATATTAATAAAATTGTTTTAAATCGGCAATATTTTTATTATAATTTATATACTAAAAATTTTATAAAAAAAACAAATTTTAATTTTTAATCTGCCAATGAAATTAATTTTAGTAATTCATTCTATAATAAGCTATACGGGAATTCCATTAACAACCAGTGTCCAAACATTGGTCAAAGTAATATAATGAATATTTATTTTTGTATATTAAATTCATTAAATAACATAATTTCTTTATTAATAAACAATCTTTTATCATAACAAACCTAAAAAAACAGACGTCTTAGGTCGCCCCCTAGTCTGAACATTTTTTATACCACGTATTAACAAAAGCACGACTAGGTTAACCAGGATTAATTAATAAATTACTTAAATTTGGACGAGAACCACCAAAATCTTTAACAAATATTTTATCATCGAAAGAAAGACGACCAAATGGAAAATTCAAAAGAAAATCAATTTCTCAACGTATTATCCATAATGGCAACATTCATACGAATCACCAAATTTAATTTTAACAAAACAATTACCAAAAAAGCTGTTCTAGCTAAGATGTTGTCAACAGAAAACTGTATAAGTCTTCTCTTGTATTGCACAAACTTCACTTCATCGTCGTGACTTTAAAAAAAATCTCCAATATTCATTTCAAAAACAACATTACACAAACACAAATATTAAATATAAATAGCGATAACTGCTAGTTAATTCACTATCTGACACTTGCAGCTTTCAGTGAAATTTACTTCCAGTTATCTTAATTTAAGTTCTTAGTAAACTTTAGTTGCATATTGATAAACAGTTTAGCTACCACTTTAATTTTATTTACCAGTTAAGCCACTTAACTGGACATTGATAAACTGGCCCTTAGACATATCTCACCTTAATATAATACGATTTTAATATTTTTATAGATATAAATTTTTCCTCATTGTTTATTATAAAGAAAAATGCCCAAGGTTATCAAATTAAAAGTAAAAATTAAAAATGTCATAATTGGACCTACAATTTATTCTTTATCATATTTTATATCTTTTTTAACTTTATGAAGAAGTTTATCTGTGTAACGACGTCGTTGACTACACCGCTGATTACGCTTAATTAATTTGTTCGCATTCGTTTTCTTAAGTAAGCCCACTTAATTTTCCGGCTTTATACGGATTAGCAACACACCAACATCTGTCCCGGTAATTTTTCATTCTAACAACGTATATTTTGGATTGGAAATGCCAAATGCTATTACGCCTGATCCATTTCGCCTACAAAGTACACCCACTCCCAACAAAGTGACTGCGAACATTTTCTTGTAAATAAAAAAACGAAATTGATACAGTACGATATATTCAATTTAATACAAAAAGGAAATGTAGCTTTATTGCATTTAGCTTTTTTACAAATTTGATTTTTATTAAAAACAATGATTCAGGAGTTATGTTTATATTCTAAATGGGAGTTTTTAAACAATGACCCTATGCACAGTGGTCTAAAGAATCATTATAAATGGCTAAACATTCTTTTTTGTATATATTAGATATATCTATTATTGTTTCTGGTTTATTAACAAGATTAACCCAAGTCTAGGAGTATCGAATCGCAATACCTTGCTGGCTAGCCTCATATCATTACTGTGCGAATTTATAAAATATTATTTTTTTAAATTATTGTTTACCCAAAAGTTATTCATACCAG